ATATATATTTTTTAAATTGCTATAGCTGTTGGATTTAGTTTTGGGCACTTGATCTTATGCGATTTCAGCTGTCGAATTTAATATATTTATGAATTAGATTTAAAAAATAGTAGTTTGAATATGGACTATTAGTTGTTGGTCCAATCATGTGAGCCGTTAGATGAAAAACTAGTCGTTGGACTTGGTTTGGGTGATCGATAAAGCTGTCAACGTGGATCCCACCCGCTGCAACTCTGTTGCATGCACGCGAATTGGGTGTGTTAGTACGCCGAGTGTGGTTTTCAGGCATGTGCCTTCATGCACATTTGTGGGCCAACATCTTAACCTTGGTTGGTATTTTGGTTGGAATTTAACCCTAGAACAAATTTTAGGTTTTACCCAAAATTTAGCCCAATGATTAGAAGAGCCTTGGGGGTGTTTAAAATTTAAATTTTAACCCAACCATTGCACTAGGTCTTACAACATCAAACAAACTTTAATACGAACCTCACATCAAGAGCATCATTAAAAAATTCGAAAGAAAATTAAAAGTAAAAAAGTAAAAAGATCTAAAAGTTCGACGAGAGAAGAGTAATTGTACACGTGTGTGCAAAGAGGGAGAGAAAATTTATACGTACTTGAGATGTCATGATATCAACATTCCAAACAAAAGAGGGTTGTCGAACGCTGAGAACTTCAACCCTAAAATAGCTTCTATGTGAAGCAAGTGGTAGGGCAAGAAATATGAGGTCCAAAAAAAGATGGTCATTAACGCCAAGGGTGAAGTGGGTTTTACCTTAGCAAGAATTCAAGACCAAGATCGGTCCTGAGATTTTAGAGACCCTTCCAAATAGGGGTCCTATGCCCGTGGCACTACTTGAATACCCTCAAGGTCAGCTCTATCCAAGACTTTGGTCCATTTTATTATAGGACATTGTTCAATATGTGTATGTGTAAGACAATGCCCAAAAATTAGGCTTAGGACAGCGTTCGATATGTGCATGTGGACAGTGCCCAAAAATTAGGCTTTGCAACGACCACGTCCACACAAATGATACATAAAGCAATTCATATGAGTGCAAAGAATTCACCAATAACTTACAAATGCACTTACCTCCAGAGATAAAAGAGAAAGTAACAAGTACCCACCTCAATTACAACCACATGCAATCACTTTTGGACTGTCACTGATGTACGTAAGAAAATGATCATACATTATACGTGTTCGTATAGCCTAAACTTCTCTGTATATAAATGTCGTAGGCATGTTACGCTGAATTTCTAAGAATAATTACAAGGATGCCGGCAATATGGACAAAAATGGGGGAAGAGGTTTATGAAATGTGCATTATTTGTGGGGAACTGGTTATGAGAGAAGGATATGACCCTAAAGTTCCATAGTTAAATGCCTCTCACATTAGATAGCCCTGATGTATGTTATTACCCAAGATATGTGATTCACTAGCGGTAAGAATCAAATCCAAGATGTGTTATGTGAAATATGAGCCTAAAATTTGTCTCTAACCATTGAGTCACCCTATGGTGGTTGACGTATGTTATTATTGACACCGTATTGGTTGGCTTCCCACATCCCTCGTAGTCACGCATGTAGAGGATAAAAACTTGTTATGGGTTGGACTTCAACGAAACTCGGATGAAGGCGTGTGAGTAACCAAATTCATGAAGTAAAAGTAAATACATGATGTTCGATAATTACAAATTTCCGTCCAAATTCATTGGACTGAAAGAGGTTTCATTTGTTAACCAAATTCATTTGGTTGGATCAAAAGAGTTCTGTTTTGGAAATCAATGAATAAAATTTATTTTTAACTAAATCATACATACTTTAATTTGATTTGTAAATTTGATAAATTTATTAATATTCTCGCTAGAAGCATATTAAGTGATAGTTAAATTGGTATCATTGTATTTATAGTGCTTTTTGAAAATTGTTATTAGCACTTGAAAATTTTATTTTGCACTTCTCATAAGTGTTTTTTTTTTTAATATAGAAAGTTTACAATGCAAATTGAGAATTTTATAGTGCTAATAATAATTCTCTATTTTTTTTTGTTGGAAAATTAGATGCTTTATTTTTATTTTTTTTAGCACATCGATATTTTTACATTAAAAGTAGGAGGAGTTCAGTTAAGCCACACAATGAGCAGTCTAGTTTGGTATCAAATTTTTCATTTACGATATTTAAACCTAAGACCTCTCACTTCCAAGTGAAGAGTAATACCACCAGACCGTAGTACTGAGGGGCAATTAGATGCTTTATTAAAAACACCATAAAATCATACAATGGAAGGCCAATCCAAAGAAAGATTTTTCAATGTGCCCGGAACATAAGGTGGTACACCACATGTCACTATACAAGTGGTGAGATATTTGTGTTAAAAAATTAACAAATTAAAAATTAAAACTTCTCTCTATTTATATAATGACACGTGGTGACCTGTATTCTAAACACAATGAAAAATTTCTCTAATCTAAAACTCAATGTAATTATCGAGAACAAAAGCTACTATTTTGTTTAGGGAACTGTTATAGCACTCCAAAAATCTCATTCTACATTCGTTACAAATGTATTTTTCTTTCTAATTATAGAAAGTTTGGAGTGCCAAATGAGATTTTAGGAGTGCTAATAACAATTCCTTTTTTTATAGTAGGAAAGAAATATCAACAACAAAAATATGGAAAATATTATCTACATTGTATATTAATAATAATGCTAATTTGTTCATTATTTTATTAAAAAATGATTTAAAACCTACATTCAAATTAGAATATTGATTTCTTTAACCAAATCGTATACAATTTTGGATAACCACCCAATCTTTAAGAGTGATTCTAAGTTAATCATAATATTTTAAAACATTCTAAATAACTTTCTAACATTTTGAAAAATATATAATTGTTAGGTTCACTATCATTAAGTGATGATGTAGACAATTAGTTGTTGGAGTTTAGATTGTTATTAGTTATCTTGCGGGCCAAGGATTAGTTACTTGCCCATTAAGTATTTGTTTTTGTCTAGGATTTGTTTTAGGGTTTTAGTCTTCTTTCTCTATATAAAGGCCTCTTTGTATTTGGTATTTTTTATCAATCAATAAACATGGTTTTTCCGGTATAAAATTCAACTTGGTATCAAGAGCAAGGTCATTATCTCGGGAACCACCGTGCCGTCCACCTAATTAGCCCACCACCGTACTAGATCACTCCACACCGCTGCATCTATATGGCCCTTTCTGACTGCAACCTACTTGCACCGGTTTGAATTTGTACCTACTTGAAACGCTGCAATCATCGCAGCCACGTTGATGAACTGGACTACCGACACACCACTTCACCGTACTCACAATCTTTGATTTTGCATCTTTGCACTTGCATCAGTCTGCATCTACATCAATATACATAACCAGATAAAACTCGTTTGTTCAAGTTGCCTGCTTGCTATTAGGTATCTTGTTCCTTAGTGTTGTCATGGCATCTGCAAAGGATGATTCCTTACAAGCTATCGGTGTGAAATTGAATGAAAATAATGTGTATTGGGCATATGTGATGAAGAATTTTTTTTATTGGAAAAGGTTTGTGGGGCTATGTTTCTGGAATGATTTCTATTCCAAATAACCCCAAAGATGAGAAACATGTTGAATTGTTAGCTGCATGGGAGATGAATAATTCGAAAATTATTACTTGGATTAATAATTCTGTTGATTTGACTATTGGAATGCAACTTGCTAAGTTTTCAACGTCTAAGGAAGTTTGGGATCACTTGGCAAAGTTGTATACCAAGGCCAATTTTGCTAAGAGGTATCAATTAGAAATGGAGATTCGTGCAATCCACTAGGGTGATAAGAGTATTCAAGTTTTTTTATAATGAAATGACCAATCTTTGGGACCAACTTGCATTGATTGAGCCTAAAGAACTTGGCATTATCGAGCTCTATTGTCAATATAAAGAAGAACAACGTCTTGTTCAGTTTCTAATGCCTTTGCGGGATGAGTTCAAGAGACTCCGTAGCTCCATCCTTCATCGAACTCCTCTTCCATCTGTTGATTCTGTTCTTAATGAGTTATAAGCCGAAGAAGTTCATGTGCAGTCGCATAGGCTATCTTCATCTTTGTCAAACACTTCAGCATTGGCTGTGGCAAGATCTTGTATTAGAATTAGGGTTGCTATAGATGAGTGTTCTTATTGTAAAGGGAAAGGGCATTGGAAATCCCAATGTCCGAAGAGATCTCAGCAACATGAATTTCCACAGAAGTCACCACTTGGAACAGTAGCAGCTTCTGTTTTGCATATTGCAACTAATTCAAAATCTGAATCTAGGAAAGATGATTGGACATGGTAGCTTGAAGTCGGCATTGACATTGGCATTAGCACTGGAATTTGGAGTCTTGCATCCACATCTACTTTGGCAAACTCATGTCTGTGTTCCGCCATGAGTTTGACCAGGGGGTGTTGGAGTTTAGATTGTTATTAGTTATCTTGCGGGCCAAGGATTAGTTACTTGCCCATTAAGTATTTATTTTTGTCTAGGATTTGTTTTAGGGTTTTAGTCTAAGGTTTGCTTTAGTCTTTCTCTATATAAAGGCCTTTTTGTATTTGGTATTTTTATCAATCAATAAACATGGTTTTTCCGGTATAAAATTCAACTTTAGTAAAACCATGTTTTACTCTTAGCCATCTATGAAGTTTTGAATCTCCCGATTGACATAGTTTAACTACATAAATTTACAGCTTAATTTGGCTAAAAGGGGTTGATTTGATGAATTATAGCTCTAAGCTTTGAATCCCCCGATATCCATCTCTTTCTCCCCTCTTCCACGTGTCAGCACATAAGTTGCAGTTCATGGAATGCCCAATATACCGTCTTACACATTATCACTGTCTAAAATATTATCTTCATTGACTCTCTTCCTTTCTCCTTCTACCCCTATGTGGCATATAGTGGTGTGGAGCCCATAGCTGGACCTTTGCTTTGCTGGATTCAAGCTCTCCATTGTTGGTCTTTTATGGGGCTTGTCTGCTGAAGAGAGAGAGAGAGAAGGAGCGAGTTTTCATTTTTTTTTTCACTTTTGCCCAATTTTTTCCTCCTCAAAGATTCTTCCTTTTAGAATACTCCCGTTCACTTTCTCCACTTGTTCAACAATCTCATCATCTTCCACATTCTTTATTTAAATACATAAACCAAAATTCTGCTCCTTGTGTTTGATTTTATGGATCCACAGATCTAATGGTTCCGTACCCACAGGAGCTTCTACTCTCTTCAAGATCTTCCTCCACTTCAGCTGTAGCAAAAAGCTGGTTTCAACAAGCAGAAGCAATCAAATTAGGAATTGGGTAAGTCTCCTTTTGCCTTCTAGGTCCTGATATTTGAGAAAGAAAGGTGCTTTTTGTATTCTGATTATTTGGGTGCTTTTGGAATTTGTGAAAACTGAAGATTCATTTTTAGCAATGTGAAGATGTAGACCTTCTGGAATTTCAAATGGCTTGACCAAGCTCTTTGTTGACAAAAAAAAAGGGACCTTTTTTTCAAACCTCCCATTGAGTTTTATTGATTTTTTCTCAATAAACCAGCGGCTTTTGTGGATGGATATTTTGTTTTAAATGGAAACCCAGATGGGTTTTTTGGAATATTGAGTCCTAACTCCTAATTTCTCTGTTTTGTGCAATCCCCAACTGAAATTAACTGTAAAGGTGGCTGCTTTATGTTGTTTTCTTGATCTGTTGGGTCCTGATTGTTCAGCTCTGATTGAATGAAAGAAACACAGTTTCAATTTGTGCAGTTATTGACTTGTTCTGTGGATATGTTTTGCAGTGTATAGTAGCTCAGCTGAGAAATAAGGGCAATACTAGCTGTTCTGGGTTGGAATTTGTGTTTTTAAAAAGTTATTCTTACATGTGGAGGTTTTGGAGGGTTGTTTGGATGAGATGAGGGATGTTATCAGAGTTGATGAACTACTTGAAGTTCTGTTTTCGGCCGAGGTCGAATCGGTACGTTCATACCGGTGCCGATTCTGGGGGTCGCCAAGACGGGCTCCTGTGGTACAAAGACACGGGCCAGCACATAAATGGTGATTTCTCAATGGCTGTAGTTCAGGCTAACAATTTACTTGAGGATCAAAGTCAGCTTGAATCGGGTAGTTTGAGCACACATGAATCTGGCCCCTATGGTACTTTTGTTGGTGTTTATGACGGCCATGGGGGGCCGGAGACGTCACGCTATATCAATGATCACCTCTTTCAACATCTCAAGAGTAAGTGAGTTTAGCTTTTCTAATGAGATTTGGAACATTTTGGAATTCCTTCAGAAAGCTTTGTTGGCCTTGTTGCTTTTGGTTTGAAATTCTGTATGGCCTTTATATTGGTGAGGAATTTGAGGGGAAGAAATTCACAATATAGGGCATGATTTAGCGATTTGGTGCATTAATTTGGATTTGGAACCTTGTTGAATTGTAAAGAAGAGCACCTTGTGAATGCAGTTTTTATTATGTTTTTAGAGTTAAAAATTACGAGTCGCCCTTAATTAAGTTGAGTATGTGCCATAAAGGCAGGTTCAAGTGAAGGATTTTGCATATCAGCATCTAATGGTATAGTGCACGGAATACGAACTTTACATTTCAATTATTGCATTTGGGCTTTAGATTTTGTAGACAAACTTCCTGTTGTAAATTTTGAGTTTCTGTGTAATATGCAGGATTTAGTTCGGAGCAGCAGTCAATGTCTGTGGATGTAATACGAAAAGCATTTCAAGCAACAGAAGAGGGTTTTCTTAACGTAGTTACTAGGCAGTGGCCTATGAAACCACAGATTGCAGCAGTAGGATCGTGCTGCCTTGTCGGTGTTATTTGTAATGAAACTCTTTATATCGCCAACTGTGGTGATTCCCGTGCTGTTTTGGGGAGAATAGTGAAGGCAACAGGGGAGGTGCTCTCTATTCAGTTGTCACAAGAGCACAATGCCTGTATAGAATCTGTGAGACAGGAGCTGCAGTCTTTGCACCCTGATGATCCACATATCGTTGTTTTGAAGCATAATGTATGGCGTGTGAAAGGCCTAATACAGGTAACTCTTTTACAGTATCAGGAAATGGTTAATGATATCAGCTCTTTGGAGTTAGACTTTGTTAATAACTTCTCTACTTTCTTTGCATCAAGCCCTAGTGGCTGTAAATACTTGTGTTCAGTGGTAATCAAATAGTCAACAGTGCATGCTGGAAAGTTCCTAATGGCTGTAATTTAACTATACTTCTCCAACTCCGTTCCTCAAAGAGAGTATATTGGTTTCGTTTATGTTTTCCGGATGACTTCATCTATGGTGCGTTGGTTATTTTATAAGTTATATGGGATTATAAGCACGATCAAGTTTTCTTCTCATGCTCTTTCCAAGTTTGTTTTGCTTTCTTGTAATTGCTTAAGCAAGAATGAGGGAAGTCTCACACTAGATCGCGTACTTCACAAAGCTAAAAAATAATCTGGAATTTTTACTGATCTAGATTGCTTTTGGCTATGTGTGAAGGAATAATGAAGTTCACACATTCATGTTTAGGGAAAATATTGTATGGTAGGTATGGTTTCACATCTTAATACTAGTGATAGCTCTGATAGATCATTACTCAAATCTTGATAAATATCAGTCCCTGGAGGAACAAGATGTGTGATCACATATAGGAGGCATCTTATCATATATGAAGACAAACTCCGTGGACAATATTTGGTTATTTTCAGTTTTCGAATGTTACACAATAGATGATTTGACTTGATACAGCTTATCATTTCTATGATGTGAAACTGATTTGGTAATCTTACATCTTGCAGATATCTAGATCTATTGGTGATGTGTATTTGAAAAAGGCTGAATTTAACAGGGAGCCTTTGTATTCCAAGTTTCGTCTTCGGGACCCTATCAAAAGACCAATTTTGAGCGCTGATCCAGCAATTTCAGTGATCCAATTGCAGCCACACGATCAATTTATTATATTTGCATCTGATGGGCTATGGGAACACCTCACCAATCAGGAAGCAGTGGACATAGTTCAAAAACATCCACGAAGTGTAAGATTTATTGTTGAATAGTATACTGGTACTCTAACGATAAAGTGATTATATTTCTTAAAAAAGATTTAACTATTCTTATGTTGGAAAGTAGAATCAGGGAGCAGTTGACATGTTAAACTTATTGCTAGTGTAAGCCTCGTATCTCCATATTTTGTTTTGCTAAAGAGAGACAATATTGGGGAAGAAAATAATTTTCCACCACACAAACCTACCTGGTATCCCAAATAGAACTTTGGCTTTAGCCTCCACATAAAAGGAGAAAAGGATTGCCTTTATAAGTCCCTGTTAGCATGAAGTTACGTCTTTCTGCAAGTTATCAAAATTCTAAGGTGTTTGGTACGTTGAATTGAATGAAAGCTGGTTTGTGTATTGAATGTGTGTGCATTCCAAAATTTGCACATGTATCAGTTGACAGTAGGATCTATCTATCAGAGTGGAGCCAGCTCCCTCAGCTGATTATATGGAGAAATGACTTGTGAGATACTTGAAATGATCCTCTATGGAGTCATTGTTTCAGATTTCGTTAAGCCCATGGTTTTGTAGGATTTGGTTCAAACTGCTTTTAGATATCATGCTGCAGGCGGTGCATATTGATAGAGTAGAGCAATCAACTGGGTTCTAGAAACCCAAATTTTCGGACATTTTAGCTGCATTGGTTCTTGTACTTTTAGACAGAATATCACTCTATAATGTGCATAGTCGATCAAAATCAACATTTTCCATTGTGCCTCTTGTCCTTGATGAATAACTGACCTATAAGTTTTAGCTGTTTCATAACTTCGGGTTTGTGGGGGAGAAAGATAAATCCACCTATATTTTAAGTCTGTTTCATTTCTGTATGTCTTGTTGGTCAACCCCTTCTGATTATATGTTGCTCACAAGTCAGTCTTCTATGGAAACTCCTTCCTTTATGGCAGAGAATTTAACTTTTGTTTTCCAACCTCATGCAGGGAAGTGCAAAAAGGCTGGTGAAAACCGCCCTGCAAGAAGCAGCAAAAAAGAGAGAAATGAGGTATTCGGACTTGAAGAAGATTGACCGCGGGGTTCGCCGCCATTTCCATGATGACATAACCGTGATTGTTGTGTTTCTTGACTCGAACCTTGTGAGCAAGGCTAGTTCTGTCAAGGGCCCAAATCTATCGGTGAGAGGAGGTGGAATCAACCTGCCTCCTAACACTCTGGCTCCATACGCCTCGGCAACGGAAGCTGGCAATACCTGATTAAACTGTATCTCTCATGTGTGTTCTGTTGCACCATCATCCTGTGTTAATACTAGGTAGCTTCCGAACCAAGAACATTTCCGACGAGGAGCCGGCCTTCGATTCTTTAATGTACACTGTAACTTTTAACTGGAAATCTAATACTTGCATTTAGCTTCTGTGCCAACAACAAAAAAGGAACTGGGAGAAGACAACAAGGTGACAGTAATCGCAGCTTTATTTTCTTCGCAATGTTCTTATCCTTTCGTCTTTCTTTTTCTCTCTCTTTGATTTCCCTTGGAATTTCAGATCTGTAAATTTGTATGAGATGGCCAATTAAGTTTTTTTGCTTCTCTTTTTATTTATTCATTTTTAGTTTTTAATAATTTATCTTTACTAGTATAAATAGTCGTTATGCATTGATCACTTACTTTATTTTCTACATTGGATAAGAGTACATAATTACTATTGGATAGTGCTAATTACACACTCCCTACTTTTCACATCCCGTTATTCATTTTTTGTCATTGATCTTCTTTAATCGATTCGTTTTAATGGCAAAAAATTAAAAGAATGTGTTAAGAAGTAAAAATAAGTGTGTAAATAGCACTTCCCTTACTGTTTTGGAGTACTAATAACATTTCATCTAAGTTGTAGTCTTTGAATTGCGGCAATTGAGAAACTGCGGTCATGCTTGAGATGCGCAAAACAACTAGATTTAGAGAAGAGGTTGATGGCTAAAACTAATCCCACTAATCATCTTTAAAAACGGAGAGATCGGGATAACATCTATATTAATTCCCTGATTGTACATGAAATCTAGTCCAGTCTAGCCTTCATATCAAACATCGACCATATCTATTCTATATAAAGAGAATGGAAAAGGTGAATAGTGATTTGGTGTCACCATGCTTCAACAAAATATTTAGACAAAAATGCCCCCAAAACAAAAAATTCAAAGGCATTCCAAAATAAAACATCAAATAAGGTTGGGGTATTTTTGTCATTTTAACAATATTTCGTTAATAATTTACTTTTTGGTGCTTATTTTTTTAATTAGTACCTCAAAAATAAATTAACAATAATGTAATTCAATTTCTTTATTTTTAAACACGTTCAAAACATCTTAAGAGGATTGTAATACTGGTTATAAAAAATGTTTTTCGCACGTTGATAACAATGTGATTAAATAAGTTATCAAATGATTGTTTTTTTTTTAATAAACGATATTATCTGCATTAAGGAGTAGAGACTTAGCCTCACAATGAGCTAGTGATAATATGATTCAATTAGTTATTTATTAACTATTATTTTCTCTATTTTTAACACATTTAAAACATCTTAAGAGGTGCGTAATGCCAGTTATAAAAAATGTATTTCGCACATGGATAATAATGTGATTAAATTAATTGTCAAATTATTATTTTTTAAATAAAAGATATTATCTACATTAAGAGGGAGGGGCTGGGCTTAGTCTCACAATAGGCTAGCAATAATATAATTCAATCAATTGTTTATTAAATATTATTTTCTCTATTCTTAATGTAAATTCTATAGAGACCGATTTTATTATGTGAATTCAGCTGCTTTAATTGGTTTATTATCTTAATGTAAGTTGCGAGTACCACATCGTGATTCAAAAAATGCATTCTGCACGTACATGATCGGGTGCATGAAATCTAGTTATTAATAACGTGACATAATTGGTACTGCATGCATGGACTAAAAATGAAACTTCATTTAATTTATGAAATTCACAATTTCAGTTTTTTTTATTTATTTTTTATTTTTTATTTTAACAAACGATATTATCTACGGTAGAATGAATGTTGTAGGCTTAGCTTCACAATGGATTAATAATAATGTGGTTTAAATTTGTTTTTAATATATAAGGTCCCTAACTTAAATTCAAGGAAGAAAATATCGGTAATATCGGAAATATCGGTAGTCCGAAAACACGGAAATATCGATGGAAATATCGGGATAATATCGATATCGATAAAAATTACATGGAAACCACGGAAATTGTAAGAAAAACTTGGAAATTTTTATTGAAACTTTGCAGGATGTTTATTTAGTCAATTATCTATTAGTTTATCACAAAAAATTAGAATGAAATGCATTGCATGATGGATTTAACTGATTTAAGTTGATTATATAGCGAGCTGTCAAATATTGTGAGTGTAGAAAATATGTAGTAATTAATGAAAGAAGTTTAAACACACCATAATCATTTATATATAATGAATTAGTACAATATTTTACACTTTATACATTGCATGGTAAGATACATGAGTGACTAAGTACCACATAGAGTTCCTATGAGGTTCAAAATTTTCACTATCTTCATCATCTCTATGTGTAGAGTAAGTGTATTGTGAAGAGTAGTCAGCAACCATGACAATGACTTTCAAGAACCGAAACCCAAAAGTCAATAGGAAACCGAATACTTCGGTATTTTTCGGGATTTCGGGATTACCAAACAAATGGGATTTGGAAACCAATCCCATATCGAAAATTTCGGTATTTTTCGGGATGGTTTTGGTTTGGGACTTTTTCGGTTTGGTTTGGGATTTTTGAGAATTTTTTCCAACCATACATGTAAGTGACCAAATAAAAAATAGAAAATTAAAAACCACATGCCATTGACTAAGTAATTAATTGACACAATTTAAAATATAATACCACAAAAAATTTGGAATATGTGCAAATTTGTTTCTTGCAAAAAGAATTCAAAACAAAACCATATATATAAATAGTTTAGCATGTTTTCACAAAAACGTAAGTGGTATAGTGGTCAAGGCGCTGAAGGAGTTAGATGGGAGGAGTTCGAATCCCTTTATGTGCATGTTTGAGACTTTTCAGAAATTTTCAAATATTTTTAGGTTCATCTCGTGATATTATCTATAATATCGCGATACTATCGATATTTTCGCGATATTATCGATATTATTGCGATATTATAGCGATAATTAAAGAAATACTCGCGAAATATCGTTATATGAAAAAAACGATAATATCGGCGATATTTCGCCGATATTATCGATATTTTCATCTATGCTTAAATTCACAATTTCAATTAGATCTCACTAAAAGCAAAATGTAGAAGGGCATGAATGCAAGAGGATTTTTAGTATACTCTGCATACGAGTCAGTACATCAGATATTGGAATACAAGTGGAGTGACATTAAACATATCACCTCTTCACTTATATTATAACATATAATGTACCATTTTGTGTTTTGAGTACACTAAAAAAATCTCTTTATACAGTTTAATGCGAAACATGATGAAAGTATCCGTGCCTACTATGTACTTGTGATTGGTCGCTTTCATCATTAAACTGTAATAAAACCATAATCTGCACTGCAGTCTCTGAGAGGTTTTGCTTGTAGCTGTAGCGCTATGACTTGTACAAATAATGTGCTATAGACACATTATTTCTATCTTTTGTACATTTTTTTTAATTTTTGATTTTCGAATAAAAAATATTGAAAATAACTAAAATACAAAAATTAACAAAATGTGTTTCTAGTAAAAAAATGTGTGGATAGCAACTGACACACCCCGACCCGGAATGTCTACTAGGACTCCGAATTGAGCTGTGCTGGCCATCACCTGGAAGGTGACGAAGCCATAAAGTGTGATGATGTGGAAATATTGTGACTAAGTTTAAACCTAAAAGTGCCTAAATACCAAAGTGCACTGGTGAGCGGGAATGAACCCACTTCACACATGATGTTAGAGTATAAGCAGGTACAGAAGAGTGAATTAAGAATCGTACCCTCGAATAATCTTCAATACTAAGAATCGCCACGATTCCTCAACGATAAGAAAACTCAACTAAGAAGACCTGGGGGGTGAAGACAAGACAAAGGTGAGTGGCCCAGTAATTAAAATTTTAATAGAAATTATATAAATTGTTATAATCCCTCGCTACGACACCTGTATAATTTCCAGATTTAGAATATAAAAATATACATTTTTATATACATATATTTATTCAAGTCATGCTTCACATATTTAATCATATGTTAACTTATCGCATATTCATCACGTCTACTAGCTCATCACGTATTCACCACATATGGTAGCTCATCACATATATTCATTATATATACTAGCATGTAAGTCGGAGTCACCTCTAGTGACCTATACGACAGATTCATATCTCATCACATATCTCATCAATCATGGCTAGCATATAAGTCAGAGTCACCTTTAGTGACCTATACGACATATTGATATCTCCTCACATATCTCATTAGTTATGGCTAGCATATAATAGTCGGAGTCACCTCTAGTGACCTATACGACATATTCATATCTCATCACATAGCTCATCAATTATCTGATACCGTATACTTACTTGAGTTTACCTAAACTTACTTGAACTTACCTGAACTTACATGTGTGTCCTGCATTCACCTTTGCACTTCAGAGCGTTCACAACACCACAATTATATATATATATATATATATATATATATATATATATATATATATATATATATATGCAACCAATTCAACTCATCGTTTATGTATTATTCAATAGGCATGGCATTTTTAAAGCATAATTCATATAATTGCATTTTTTGGGAAAAACATCAAGTGTATACATATATACTTAAAACCAAAAGTCCACACACATTGCTCAATTCCTTAAACAAGGCTATGGTCTCAACTATTTAATCTCATTTCTTATATGGTTGCATCTAACGTCTCGTTAGACTGCCTACGTACCCTAAACAGGGATCAAGCCATTCATAGTTCGCAACAATCATTTATAGTAATACGCATATGGATAGTCACAATGAAATCTAACTCAACCATCTCATAGTATTTTATAACATATAAATATATATATATATGTATATATAATATATATATATATATATATATATATATATATAAATATATATATATATATACATATATATATATATATATATATATATATATATGTCATGGCATAAGTTCTCAGTTTTATTTAAAAGCATTTATAGAATTATCAATCATGAAACATAAGATGAGCAAGGAAAGATCCACTCACCTGGAGTCCGCACTACAACTTCCTAGCACGAACATCGAGGCGTCATAAACGATCGGCGCCTGTGACCAATTATCAAACCATATCTCAGAATTCTCATTGATACAATACATAACTTACATCGTACATAAGTCTACGCAATTCCGTCCAAAAGATCTACAAATCAAATCTCTGATTGGTAACTTTCAAGGATCCACGTTATGCTTTTAGAATAACAAACTAAAGTTTTGGAACGATCCAACGATCAGATCTCCACCAATTGCCAAAACCAAGTGGTGGTTAACATTTTATTTTATGAACTTACAAATCCAATT